GGCCAGCAGGAGGGAGGCGGATAAATAATGGGAAATAAAACTTTATGGAGCAGAAAATAAAAGGCAGATTATACAGATGTGCCAATTTGCAGGATCATTGCCTTTGTCCTCTTCCGACCGGCGGCTGCATCTGGAGCGTCGAAGCACCAGGCCACCCCCTCCGTCCCCACCCCCGTAGCGTCTCGCCCGTCTGGGGAACGGGCCGGGCATCAGGGGTCCTGGTCCGCTGGCGACTTCCCCCACGCAGCTCCTTGAGCCCCCTGCAGGGCGGGGTGTGGGGGAAGGAGAGACGGCTCGAACTGCGAATCCTTGCCCGGGGCTGCAGGGAAAGGAGGGCGGCTCTCCGCTTGCCTCGGGGCGGGCCTGGGAAGGCACTCTGCGCGGGCTCAGAGGCCAAGCGGCTGGGGGGGGGAGGGCAGTCCCTGCCGCGCGTTGCCGTGCCCCCTAAGGTGACCGGTACGAAAGCGTGATTGATTGATTGATTGATTGATTGATTGATTCATTCATTCATTCATTCATTCATTCATTCATTCATTCATTCAATCATTTTATTTATACCCCAACGTTCTCCTTATAAAAGCACCCAGTACTGTATTTACTGGGTATTCTTTGAAACAAACAAACTCTCCGTATATCTTCTCAATCTAGAACTGTATTAAGAAGAATCGCCCCGAGCGGAAGCGAGCGACTGTGGTCGCCGCCGGCTTTTCCCTTGCCCTCCCGGAGCGCCCGGCGAGCCGCTCCACGGGCAGCCCATGCCCGGGGTAAAGGAAGGCCGAAGCTGGCGTGACCCTCGTGCTGAGGGGGTGGGTGCCGCCGCGCTGTCCCGGGCCACCAGCTACCAGGAGGAGCGGGTCTCCTGCCTGCAAGGGCGCCCCGTTCGCCTCCTCTGCGGGTCCGCAGGGCTTTTGTGTAAGTCTGCCGAGGCCCCCACCCCAGGCTCTTCCAGGGGAGAAGCACCCCGACCGCACTCTGGCTGGAGGCGGCTGGAGTTCTGCCTTTGCCCCCTCCGGGTGGAGGTGCTTTTGCCCCGGCGGCTAGGTCGCCCTCATCGGGGTGGGTGGGCGTCCTGCTTGCTCTCCGGCTCCCTGCTCTGCGGACACTCCCCCGCCTGTTCCCTGCTGCCTGGCACTGAGGCCAGCTTGCTTTTGGAGGAGACCACCGCTGAGATCGTGGGAAGGGGTCCTTGCTGTGGGGGGTGGGGGCAGGAGAAAGGGGATGAGGCCGGCAAGGCCAGCCCGGGTGACAGGAGCTGGCGGCGGCAGGGGCGGGGCTCCTTTTGGTGCAATTACTCCAGCATGTTTCTTCCACCCACGCTGGCTACCTACAGGTGTGAAGGAGACCCTTCATCCGTCCTGAGGAGCTCAGAGTCTGTGCATGCGCAAGACAAAAGGGTTCCAACAGGACCCAACATCCGGTCCATCTGTATTTATTGCACAAAGGTCCTGGTTGGGCACAGCGCTAATTTGCCAAGGCAGGAAGGTCCTGAGGTTCCTGGCCCCCCCCCCCGCGCCCAAGACCAGGCTGGTCCCCTTCCCTGAGTCTGGTGCTTGACAGGTCCCTGGGAAATCCCTCTGGGCTGGATGGGAAAGGCTCTCCCTCCTCACCAGGAGGGGGCGCCACCTGGTGCCCAAATACTGCAAGGGCGTTTTTCTCCTCTCCCTTTCAGAGCAGCTTTTTCCTGACTGCAAACAGCAGCGACCCCAGGAAGCCCCCCCACCCCCCCCAGCGTGGCCTGTGGCTGTCACAGCAAGTGCTTGTTGCGCCTGGGGATGATTCTGCGAACTGTCCTGCGTTCAGAAATGTTCCGCTTCACCTTGACGGTGGCAGCGGCAGGACCCTCTGCATTCAAGGAAGGGCTGGAATGAGACTTTTGCAGGCTGGGGCAGCTTCCCTCCGCCTCTGACTTGCCTAGCCGAGCCTCCCACTGGTCCAGGTCTTCCTCCGCGGCGCTGCTGCTGAGCTTCACCTCCAGGAGCCGCACATACGTCTCGTACCGGCGCTTCTGCGGGGGGAAAAAGGGAAGGGGCCAGATGGCATGGCATGGCATGGCATGGGAAGGGAAGGGCAGGGCCCAGGCCATTTTCCAAACATGGCCGTGGTGGTCATTTCAGGGGTGTGGGGGCCTGATCCAGGGCCCAGATGCAAGGATGACCTCATCCTAGGCATCCTTCAGTCTCGAGAGACTATGGTATCGTGCTCTGCAAGGAGGACTTGGAACAGCGTCTCGTGTGGCTGAGGAGGCCAATTCGAGAGTGACAACAATCCCTTCCACACTTAGGACAAATACAATCTGTACCCCGTCTAGCTCCCTGATTTTGCTGCTTTCGTGACCTATGGATGACCTATGACTTAGGTATTTGGATAATCAGGCGACACATTCGCAACCTATGAACATTTCAGGTTTCTGAGCAGATACAGTGGTATAGGAGAGAAATTGCAGTCGTTACAAAGAGTTGCCAGAAATGGCTCAGGAACACACCAAAAGCAGACAAGGTAGCCAAGATTGCGCATGATTTACGAAACCTTGCCTTCCTCTGGTAGCAAAACAAGAGTCCCCCACACGCCTCGCAGGAGTCAGAGCGCAGGCCAGTTCATGTTTTGGACTACAGCTTCCAGAGTCCCCTAACCGGCATGACTTCCAAAAGGTAACTTCTCAGGGCGCCTGCCTCTCCTTCCCCACCCCATTGTGACAAGGCAGGATTATAAGGGAGAGAGAACCGGAGAGAGAGAGACTCTGCCGGCCTCCGCTCACTCACTCGCTCGCTCGCCATACCTCATAAAGCAAATACTCCTTCTTGAGTCGATACTCCTCCAGGTCCCGGCCCCGGGCGCCGCGCTTGTCTGGGAGGTTTCGCTGGAGCTCCAGGAGGTCCTCAGAGGCCTTGTCCAGGCAGCTCTCGTGGGCTTCGTGCTGCTCCTCCTGTCACAAGAGACCTGGCGCGGTTGGCTCTCTGCCCGCTGGGCAGTCAAGCTCTCTGCCCCCCCCCGCGCTGCCTCTGCAAGGGTCTCAGAGGCGGAGCTCTGACAGAACCCGTGAGGAGGGCAAGAGCGGGCAAGCCTGACGATGCCAGGGTGCCACCTGGGTCGTCAGGGCTTCACCTCCCCTCACCCTGATCCAGGCAGGTGGAAGGAAGGAGCCTCTTCAGCCTCCCAGGGATTCTGAGACGAGATTACTGGGGTGGGGTGAGGACTTCAGCTCCCCCTCCCATTTTAGCAATCTTGCTCCAGATAACGCAAGAGGCCTGGAGGCTTCAGCTGGTCCCCAGCCAGGCATTTCCCCAAGGTAGGGAGCAAGGCTGCTGGAATGGGGCCTGAGCTTCTGGCTGCCAGTAAAGCAGGAGGAGGAGGAGGAGAAGAAAAAGGAGGAGGAGGAGAAAGAGAGTTGGTAGCAGTAACGCCACTTGGCAGGGTCATCGACAGCAGCACACAGGGGCAGGGCAGAGGCTGCAAATCAGGTGCCCTGTAGGGAGAGCAGGGGCCAAGCGAGAAAGATCTCAGGAGGAGCAGGGTGGGGTCGGGTGGGGTGGGGGGAACAACGGGGACCACTCGCTGGGGGTTGAGCCACCTCCTTCCGAGCTCTCCTCCTGCCAGTCCTATAGACTGCCTGCTTGGCATGCTGGGCATTGTAGGAAGGAGCGGCTGGGAAAGCGAACAGAGTGCAGAGTTTCATCTCACCAGAGAGTTCTTGCAGGGGGCCGTTGGGAGAATGGGCCGGAAGAATTTCCGCTGGGAACCCACGGCCGCTGGGAAGGGTGGGGAGGAGAACATGGCAGCCACCAGGTTGATGCGAGAAATCCACGAGCTCATCTCTTCTGCACTCCTTGGAGAAGAGAGAGAGGACGTTGCACCAGGTTCTGAGCACCCCTTGCCAACAGGTGCGTGTGGGCTGTGTCAGGGCAGCAGCCCTGACCCAAGGGCTCCCCCAGCCCACCAGCGGAGGCTGCTGTTAGCTGCCATTCGTCGAGGGCAGTGGGGCAAGCAGTCAGAAGGAAGGAACTGGTGAAAAAGACTTGGGAGCCACTGCTGTCCAAGGCTGGCAGTCTCTTTCTCCCCATGATTCGCAGTGCATGAAGGTGGGATTGCCAAGAGGTTCTCGGAAGGCTGAAAGGGCAAGTGAAGAACGGTTGTCTGCATACCCCCCCAGCCCAAGAATTTCTGCCCCCTTCCTAGGAGGAGTGGACAGAGGAGGGGGTCCTCAGCGGACAGAAGAGGGCATTCGCACGGTTGCTGTTATGTCACGGGCATGCCGCCCACTCCCAGCCTGCAGATACTCACGGGGCTTGAAAGAGGAAGACACGCCAGTCGGCCGTTTGGAGCCAGAAGACGTGGGGCCGCTTGGTGTACTTGCTGGCTGGCTCTGCCAGGGCATGGTGCACCCCGAGGGGCTCTTCTGTGCCCATGCCCTCTGACCGGCTCTCCTCCTGGGGAAGAGGACAGACCTCTGCATAGAGGGGGGCAGGCCCAGGGCTCCTTCTAAGGGGCTGGGACGGGAGCACGATAGGGCGGGGGGGGGCCACAGCTCCCTTCTGGAGCAGGACCAAGTCCAGAGCACTGGAATGTCCCCCCAAGCAAGGGCTTTTTCCTCATCTGGCCAGAGGGGCAGGAGCAGGGATGGTGCTGGTGGAGGAGGTCTAATCCGGCAAAGGACGCTCAGAGCCAGAGCCCTGGGCTTAAGGGAGCTGCTGGCTGCTTTCCCTTGGTGGTCTGAAAGGCTGGGGGAAAGGGAGGGGGCATGCATGGATAACTCTTACCCAGGAAACAC